ATATTTATATATAATTTGATTTAATGTCATTTTGTTTTGAAATACTTTTGTTAGTTCATTTATTTACATCGTTAATAAAATCATGACATCCATGGGTCTATTGCAGTATTATAGGATTTCTAATTTCGATTTTTATCTTCTTAGTCTAGTTTAGTGTTTGCACATTTCTGAAGGATGCTATGTCCTCTCGCGCCGAACGCAAGGCTCGTGCGCGAGACGGACCAAAGGCTCACCTGATTCTCCTGCCGGTCCAGGTCGTCCTGCTGCCCCGTCCGCGCCGGGGGTTCCCGGAGGTCCAGGCAGACCTGGGGGCCCTTGCTCGCCCGTAGGCCCGGTCACCAGCACCGCGTCGCCGGGAACGCCGCGGGGCCCAGGCTCGCCTTGGGGACCAATGGGCCCTGGGAGTCCCGTGACGCCACTGGGGCCGACGTCACCCTTAGGGCCGATCGGACCCTGTGGGAGGGGGACAAAAAGAAGTCGCGGGGATGGTCGGTGATGCTTACATGCATATGCACAAGGGGAATCTTTCACATCACAAAGCAGACGCACAATAAGCTGCGCAAACTTACCACAATGCCCGGTTGGCCTGTGGGACCAGGAGGTCCTGGTGGCCCAGTGTTACCAACGTTTCCTGACTCGCCTTGCCGCCCAGGGGCTCCTGGGGGCCCGGGAGGTCCCTGACCAAAGGGAATACTTGATTAGTGCCAAGGGAAATCTTTAAAATAATCGTGTATTCCAGTATGCACATGTACCATGTATATCTTACACAATGAGAACCAAAAGACATATCACTCGAGGCGATGTCATTAATAGCTAGGAAATGTACAAGCCATATGGCCATGGGTTAAGAAGAGAAGCTGGCCATAAGACTGAGTGAGGCTGCGGGCAGCCCGTTGGCCAGCTATTTGGCCAGCCAGTCAGTCAGCTGGTCGACGGCCACGAGCGGTGCACCAGGACGTACTGGGGATCCGACAGGGCCCGGATCGCCGTCTTTACCGGGGAAGCCTGGGAAGCCGGGCTCCCCCACCTCTCCTGGAGGCCCCCTCTGGCCTCGCTTGCCCCGCCGTCCCTGTAGCGAGAGCACACGGCTGCGCGTCAGACTCGGTCCTCACGCGCAACACAGCGTAAGGGAGGGCGCTCTGTCCCTGAAGAGCACACAGTGGCCAGGGCACAGTTGCAGTGTGCTTGGCTGGCCACCAGGGTTAGTTCAACTCGGCAATGAGAATAAGAGATCCACTGTCATATGGGCCCCTTTGTATGGCCGTGCAAAGAAAATGCTGAGCTTTTGCATGTCCAGTGTCTAAACCTCTAACAACTCAGAGCAATATTATTACATTTCTTTCATACTGACATATTCGGGTAAAGTCTCAGCATTTTCTCTGACACAGACGCAAATAAATGTTAACTCTAATGCTAATGAGCATCGTCTAGAAGATGCGTTCAGGCAACAGCACGGGTTCAGCGCCATGGTTGAGCCTGGGAACAGAACACAGGGTTGAGAGGAAGGGAAAACGGCAGCGAGCGATATTTTGTGCAGAGGCGTCCTCCTCAGGTTCGGCTCCTTCGCCACCTACGGGGAATCCGAGGCTGCCGGGTTCGCCGTTCTCGCCTGGCGGTCCTGCGGTTCCCGGAGTGCCAGGAGGACCTCTCTGGCCTCGAGAGCCAGGCTGCCCGTCTTGCCCCTACGTCCGGCCAGCGCGGTCGAAGTCGGTGTAGACACGAAAAAGTTATTAATGCATCACTTACAAGGTACATTTCCTATGCAACAAGGATTGCACTAATCACACCGACTCTTGATCTTGCCAATGTAATGTTCTGAAGTTGATTATATGGAAACTATGTTGGGTATTCATTCAGCAGCAGAAATATGAAGGATCTAACACATCTGAAACTGTTTTGTTCATGAGAGAAATTCAGTTGCCTGCTTAAATCAGGCAGTTCATTACATAAAAAGATAAGAGGAGGATCACATTTTGATTCATAAGAGAAAATAATATATTCATTTTTTTTCACTCGGAGACACTTAATGTATAACTTCCTTAACTGTTTACAACTACAATGATCTAATATCCCAAGTCAGTGGTACATTAGAATAACATGTAAACAAAAATATAATATGAACACAAACAGGAAAACTTACATCTGTTCCATTTAAGCCAGGAGGACCTCTGGGGCAGACCACGGAGCACTCCGAGCCTGACTGGGGCACGCCCTGGACAGGAGGGAAGACTTCTTAACATCTATCTTCATATTTTACAGAGCAACGTAGTCGAGGAGCTTGGTTAAAAAAAATATATATATATACACACCAAGTTTCATCAACAACAGAATTCCTAGTCACCGATAGAGAACAAAAAGAGTTCATTCAGGACTTACCGGCGGCAGTTCCCCGCAGGTCTCCCTCTCCGGGCGGGTGGGGTCGCAGCTCATCACCATCCACTGCAGCTCGATCTGCGGGCCAACACGGAAGCGCCTCAGTCACACCCAGCGCCACGCACGG